ATGCTGTAATGTATCTCTGGCTGTACACATTTGATGATAGGCAATTTTGATTAAGTGAATGTATTCCAATGCAATATTTGTCTGTCGAAGATCGGCCGGCTGATATGAGCTACGAAATAAAGAAATTCAAGTTCAAAATAAAATCGTTCGATTTTTGCAGCAGACGTTCGACGCACGTCTTTCATGCAACTCGCGAGATCTCGCAGTTGAAAGGAAAATCACCTATTATTTTCCTTCATTATTTTTTGTGATACATATGTATAAACTACTTTAGAACTTACCGGTATATGACAACTGCTTGTATTTTGAAAGGAAATAACCAAGAAATTCTCATTGATAGTGAATTTGTACCCCCGGAAAGTACCAGGATGTGTGACCTCTTGGAGGTCATGCACAATACATATATATATCAATAGTATACTCATACACATTTATCTTGATAATGTCACGCTCTATTACAATGTATGTAAACAAGGCTGGTGGCTTTTTTCAGTCACTAACACAACAACAACAACAACAACAATACATGACAAACAATATCTAGCCATCCACATACTGTTGTTTAATTGCATTACTGTTAGCACACACACATTTAACAGTGGTCATGATTTTTTTGTAGAGTTCAATATACTGTAAAGGGGGTAATTATTCACTGGGTTTTAATTAAGGTTATTTTGCTGACTGGAAAAATGCGCTAAATTAAAACACAGTGAATTCAATATGTAAAATTTAGCATAGAACACATTATCTAAATGACGAAACTGTGAATTTAAAACCCACTGAATATGCCTGAAATGGTAAATCAGTGAAATATAAACCCAGTGAAAATTAGTCATTTTACAGTATTGTACCACATCATAAGTAAGTTTTGTATACACTTCCTATACTGGTACAAACAGTACAGCTTTTGCCAAGCCTGTCGTACATGTCGCACATTTTTCAACATTTCTAATTTATCATGCATTTTTCCAAAGCACAATAGGACACTAATAAACTGTCTCAGGTCATGGTAACTGTGTGATGTGGATGCGAAAATAATGACAGTACTGATTTTGTAGGGACCCCCCCTGAGGCACAAACAAAAAGGTTCTGGCTCCTGATTCCTTTCATTTTTAGACTCATTTTGTTAACGAAATGTGAATTCTATTCCACAAAAATCATAACTATAGTAAGATGTTTTTCAAAATCACTATATCAATGTACATGTACGAGTTTCTGTTGCATCAATGGTGAGTTAGTGCAGAACTAATTGCATCATAGCAAATCTGTGTGCATCAGTGACATATAATATCGGCTTACTGATCATGCTGAATGTACATTGTGTGTAAGTATTTACCAGTAATATATATCAATTTATTATTAAATATAAACTATAGATCTATAGTCACATCAATAGTTTTAACAGTATTACCGAAAGAAATAGTTTGATTATTCATTTATGAACTACAAAGTTGTTACACCTTGCATAAAATTGAAAGAAATTGTCTGGATGGCTTGACATGTTACATCATGTTGTGATTGAGTTTCACTCTAACTAAATTTGAATCAAGAACATTTTTGAAGTATTATTGAAAACACCAACCCTTAATGCCATACATACCTGCTTCCTGTAAATTCCACAGTACGATTCTTAAGTACAAATTTGGAATCTCGGTATCCCCATCCATTCCACTTCAAAACATCTTGTCTACAATTTGATAAAAGAAAATATTAGCAGGTATCTAGAACAATTAGAGTAATTAATTGCAGTATATGTCATTATTATACATCTGTCATCGTAACGCTATACCGTAAGTTACAGCGAATATGGAATGATTATGCACTTAAGTGTTCTTTAATAATAAAAAACAAACATGGCTGCCACCAGGGTTTAACCGGACTCCACACAAAGAAGTTTGATGGTTCTGTTCTAAACTTT